GGGTGCCTGGGTGGCTCAGCCGGTTTAGCGGCTCAGGTCATGATGTCACTGTTTGTGAGTTTGAGCCCCGCATCCTCGGGCTCTGTGCTGACAGCTCTGAGCCTGGAGCCTGCTTTGGATTCTGTGTCTCCCTCTCTCTGCCTCTCCACTTGTGCTCTGTTTCACTCTCAAAAAAAAAAAAAAAAAAAGAAAGAAAGAAAAGAAAAGAAACATTAAAGAAGAATTGAAATTCTAATTGTAATTTGGTATGTACACTAAGTACAGAAAAGTGCATAAAAATATTGTCTCAAATACATGTGCCTGTAAATACATTAGTCACTTAGAAGCCGATACAGGTTCAAATATATAAATAAATGCACATACACCTACATGTAGGTACACGTAAGCCAAAATATGCATATAAACTACAAACAGTCACCCACACACTCAGGAAGAAGGAATAAACCAACCTGATTTTCTGGGGTTGCTGCACTGGCCCAGGACCCCACACCTTCAGGTGGAGGGCAGGAGACTAGATCAGATAGATTATTTATAGTTGACCATCTACACTTGCTTCTGCACTCTGGCTCTCATACCCCGCTCACGTCTTCTGACTTATTCCTGGCTGTCCTGCAGGTCTGGAAGAGCCCTTCTCTTGCCTTACAGCCACCAGCCCAACTCCACCCTTCGTAAGGGAGCTCCTTACCTGTCTTCTTTCACTGTGGGAAAGTCAGCAGCAGCTTCTGTCTCTGCCCTCGTCCCAGATCAGCAGAGGAAGAGGTCAGCAGGACCCCTTACTTGGATCCCTCCTCCTGACTTCTGCTCTGCCCTATCCCTTATCAGTTCCTTGTTCATCTCATTCTTGCCTGGGCCATTGCCCCAGCTTTCTAAATGTTTCCCTGCTCTAGGCTCTTTCCTCCCATTTGTCCTCCTTTAAGGAACCTGCCAGATTAATGATCCTAAGCACGTGCTGAGGTCACACTTGTGCTGGCAGTTTCCCAATTCAGGACAACTTAGGGCTGGATCCCAAGAAGAGGCCCCTTGACCACTTCTCCAATTCTTGCTTCCCCAGGTCAGTTTCCCTACTGTTTTCTCCAAACATCTTTCTCACCTCAATCAGCTCTGTAAATTGCCTCTGCTATAGAAACTGGTAGGGGAGTGGGGAGGAGGGAGGAGAGGCATGTGGGTGGCTCAGTAGGTTCACTGCCTGACTTCAGCTCAGGTCAGGTCATGATCTCAAGGTTTTGAGTTTGAGCCCCACACCGGGCTTTTTGCTGACAGCATGGAGCCTGCTTTGGATCATCTGTCTCCCTTTCTCTCTCAAAAATAAATAAACATAAATTAAAAAAAGAAACTGTTTGCTCTCTTCTTTAGTTCACAGTGGGGTGTTTATTACCTCTCATGACTGTGGTACAGTGCTTTACGGTTTATAAGCACTCTCAAAACTCTTTATGGGCCTCCTCTCACATGCGCTGTACTGAGGTTAGCCCTGGAAATACAGTGGTTAGTGATGTGGAAACGTGGGGGTTCAGAGAAGATGGCCAAGAAAGAATTCTTGACACAACTTTGGTCCAAAAAGGTGGTTTTATTAAAGCACAGGCACAAGACTCATGGGCACAAAGAGGTGCCCTTGGATTATGAGGCGTGACTGATTATATATGATTTTCTATCCTATGGAAGGGAGAGTGATGACAGGGTGCCAGGAAATTCAATCTATAGGTTTCTGTAAGTCTGGCCATTGGTAAGATTGCTTCCCTCCCCCCCACCCCCGTTGTAAATCATTAACAGCTGCAGACTGATGGAGACTCATGTCCTGCATGACTGTGATCTCTATCAGTTAACCACTAGTTTACTGTGATCTCCATCAGTTAACCACTTGTTTTTCCCTCCAGCAAAGCATTAACATTAAGACAACTGGGCATTCCTGGAGGACTATGATACTCTGCCTGCCTCAATTATTTGCCAGTCAGACGCAGATTATAAGGAAATTTACTTTTATCTACATTTCTTTTATCATTGTACTCTATATCAGTGAGTAAAAACAGCTGTTTTCATGAACCAAGTCAACATAACCTGTTGAGGACCTTGGGCCCCAAAGTCCTCTGCCCCCAAATCATAAGCGGATTTGGGAAAGAAGATATTTTCCTGCTGTCCCTTTTGCCTGCCCCAACCTCTATTCTCAATGGAACTATGGCCTCCCTGGAGTCATGGGGACAAAAAAAGGAAGATAGAAAACAAGACTGTGGCTTGCAGAAGAGGACTTTACCAACCACATGAGCAACACAGGAGTGGCTGTTGGGAGGTTGCAAGCCTAGTATAAAGGGCCATTAAACTTTTACAAAGCTAAATAGAGGGTAACACTTGTCTGTATTGCAACATCTTTATTTCCTTCCCGTAACTACCACACCCATAATAAGGAACATTTAGTTGTGTGAGCCTAAGCTAGTTACTTTGGTTTCAGAGCCTCAGTTTCCTCACTTGTAATATGTGGTTAGAAATCTGTGGTGTTTTCATGGGATTATTAAAATGATCAAAAGAGATAAGGGTACATGGAAGAGTTTTATAGAACTATAATGTACAACACTGTCAAAAGTTCAGAAATAACAGAAGTAAAACCAATGAATCACTGAAGTAGTACTTAGTGAAAGTTTACCGTGCACACACCAAAGAAACGAGCTTGCAAACCAGGATCACTCCAATCAAAACACGGAATGAGGTTCGGAGCTAAACTGTCATAAAACAGCTTATTTCGTGACAAAACACTGACTGTTTATTCTTGACTGTGATTGGTTATTTGTGGTGTCTAAATGGGGTGTCTGTCTTGATCGGATGGGGTCCTCCAAATGTGAGGCAAAGATCAGGTGGAAGCCGGTGGCCCTGGAGGTGAAGAGGTTAAAGAATTCACCTTCAGCAGAACAAAGGGAGTAGCAGGCAAGCCAGCAAAGGAGAAGCTGTGGACAAGGAGGCAGTGGGTGGGGGCTATTTTTAAAGAGGGAAGATGAGGTATGGCCACATGTGGAATTCTCCCTTTTTTGGTAACTGTGCCTGGTTGTAAGTACTCCATTGGTCAGTTATGGCCTGTGGATATTTTGAGGTGGGGTCGCCTGATGGGCCTGTCTGTATTCAGCCAGGGGGTCCCTGTGGGCCCTTTCTACATTCCTTTGCTCAAGCCTGTTTGCTTACAAGTGCCTCTACAGTTATACCGTTAACATTTTCTTAAATGATAGGGAACTGGTCAGTGGTTATTTCTTACGAACATAGGGAACAGTTTAAGTTTTGCTTGATTTGTAGAGGCTAAAGCAAGAAAAGCCCCAGGTCAAGTTAGTCTTGCAAAATAAGCTAAATTAAGCCCTGTTGGAATGACTATACCGGTTCTGTCCTCTCAGGGAGTTTGCAAAGCTAGTCTCTGTTAGCTTATTTTGGAATCCTGTATTTTACAATTACAGCACATCTCATTTTGGACTAGCCACATTTCAAGTGTTCAGAAGTCCCATATGGCTAGTGTGCTAGACGGCACATGGTAATATAGTAAGATAAATAAAAATTAGTTAAAATCTGGGTAGTATTTTTAAGGTTTCCAAGATTCTTCTGATATTTAAATTTGGGGTTATTCTGGGTAGGTGGATGTTTAGCATTTCCATTTTGTAGATGTGAAGCAGCGGCAGCAAAGTGTGTAATTCACCCAAGGTCATCAGCTAATTAGTGGTGAACTCAATCCTTGCGTTGGAACGTGGGCACTTCCTCTTTTGCTTCCTTTTCTAAACAAGCAGTACAAAGGGAAACTTTATCACACAAACAGGTCCCAAGGCTGACTGCACTAGTGTGCAAAAAGGCACAGTCCTTTCAAATCCATCTGTAATCCCCTCTCTAAAAATCCTGCCCAGTTTAATCCCACCAGAATCTATGAATTCCATTATTCTAAAACTATGTGTGTTAGATTAAGCACCTTCCAGCTCAGATGTTCCAGGGATGTAAACGATACAGGTGGGCATAAAAAAATCCTAAACCTCTCTGATATTCTCTCTAATGTAGTGATTTACATTTTAACTACTCTTGAAGGCTCCACTGTAGTGTTTCAGCGTTCCAAATAGGTAAGACATGAAGTAAAAACTCCTCTCTTCCACTCTAAAAAAACACATATATGCCAAAGGTACCCACCAAAACATCACCAGACCCAACTTGCTATCCGGGAAAGAAGCTACTAGTGCAGGATTTCTCTAAAAGGAGAAGCATGGTAGTCGCGGGGATGGGCAGCAGCAGAGCAGGGACCAGGTCAGAACTCGTCCCTAAGGCTGAAGTTCCTGAAGAGATGCCAAAGGCAGCTGACTGCCCTCTTGACCTGACAAGCTGTCCCATCGTGGGCCCAGAACAGCCTGGAAGAGCCGGCTGAGTGCCGCAAAAGCCCCAGCTTCGCTCCTAAACCTGGCTGGTATTTCCCCCCTTCTCCCTCTTTTCCTTTCCTAACCCCGCTTAAGGAAGGCGAGTGGGGTGGTGGTTGGAGGGCAACACAAGTTCTGTAGTCTATGGCCCGCAAATACCCCGCACAAAGATTGAACTGAGTGAGTTCTAAGAGCTGACCGCCCCCTTCTCTGGGTTGCAAGGACAGCCTCGAGGGTTCTTCTCCTTCCCCAGCCCAATTCTAGTTACTCCTGGCTACGCACATTCGGCACGAGCGCGGCAAAAAGTCTGCGCGGCGCTTGTGCGCGCAAGTTCCTCGCAAGGGACAGGTCTCCGAGTCCGTCACCGACAAGTCCGCGTAGCTCACAAGCTGTGCGCACGCGCGAGGCGCGGGTGCCACCAACTTCCGGGAGCTGGGGAGTGGGCAGGGCACTGACGTGTCGAGCAGGTGGGAACAGGACACACCTTTCTGGCTTCTCCGTTTGGGATCTGGTATCCGTCTCCGGAGGCAGGGTCCAGGAGGTGGGGAGGGATCCGGCCGGGGTCCGGAGTTGCCGCTGAGGCCCGCACCCGTTCAGTCGGAGGGTCTCGCCGGGGCGGGCCCGGCTTGGGGATGGCTGCGGCTTGTGGCGCCACGCCCCGCGCAGTCAGCTGGTTGGCGCGGATGTTCACGTGACGCGGGCGGTGTTTAGCAGGCAGGTGGGCGGGAGGGGACCAAACCGCGGCAGCGGCGGCGCAGTACCAGCATGTCTACGCTCTACGGCGGTGTAGAGGGGTGAGTGCAGCCCGGTGGAGGGAATCCGGGAGGGGAGGCATGGAAGCGGTCGGAGGGCGGAAGGAAGTCCGTGCCCAGGCTGGCAGGCTGGTGACTTCCCGCCTTAGGGTCCAGCCACTTTGGGTTTCTGAACTGCGGGGTCTTGCGGAGGAGGGGTATGTGCACGCGCAGCGATGACTTTTCGCGCGGGATCGCGTGCCACGGCCCCGGACCGCGGGGTTCTTTGTTTTTCACGGCGGAACCACACCCGTTTTTCCCTTGAAGACCCAGTCCGCCGCCTCCAGCTAGAGAAAGAGAAATTCCCTTTCCTTGTTCCCGACCCTGGAGATACTTTGGCTGAACTGGTGTCAGGAGTGAAGTTGCTGGACCTGGGGTGGAGAGTGGGAGTGTGGTGAAAGCCGAGGCAAAGACCTTTGCCAGAGGGTATCTGAACAGTTGCCAGCCCAAGTGTTAGCCTGTACCAATGTCTGGAACCCCTCTGTTCTTGTCGGCACTCCAGGCTCCTTAACGCTAGATCGAACCCTCTGTCTTTCTTGGATTTTTTCTCCTTAAACGCTTGTTAACTGGATTTTTTTGTAATGCCGCTTCTCTATATGACTGTGGACAAGACTTTTGCTCTATCTGGGCTTTTACCACGTGTGTACAGTGAGAAGAGGGATGAATGAGGATTGGCAAGTCCCCTGCCAGTGAAAGCATTCTGTGATCTTGGTTTGCCAAATCCGGGCATAATAGAGGGTGGCTCTCGTCTCCCCCTAGGTACTTACTTTTGAATCTGAAATTGGGATTTCCTCGGTGGCAGCCATATCCCACTGCTGGCTCATGGACCCTCAATGTTTTGCTTTGTTTTTTTAACATGGATTTTGAGGTTGATCTCCCCCATCCTATATCTGTTAAAAAAATGTACAGGAGCTTGGGTTTATCCCTGTTCTATTCATGTGTAAGATAATGACCTATTTTTCTAGTTTGTCAAGAGATTCTTTTAGATATTGAAGATTCTTAACAGAATCTTTAAGAGTTACGGGGGCACTGATATGGCTTAAGTGAGGCAGCTGTGCGGGTCAGGGTGGGCCACATGTCAGAGGTCTCAAGGACAAGGTGATGGAGAAGTAGGGTCTTATAGGATAAGTAGGACATCCCCATGGGAGGCTGAACAGGAACAACATTTCAGTCCGGTAGTGCGTCAAACCCCACACCACGGAAGTGGGCTTGGGAATGGGACTTGGGTTTGCCAAAGCTGCCTCCGTCTCACACGGCTCGGCCTGTGACTAGGACTGCTCAAGCGTGGTCGCACCTGCAAGTTTGTCTGAGTAAGACTGAGTGCCCCCTTGTGTTCTGTAGGGGAGGCTCACAGTCCAAGGTCCTTTTACTCTCAGAGGATGGGCAGATCCTGGCAGAAGCGGATGGACTCAGCACAAACCACTGGGTAAAGGCCACAGTGAGGGACCAGTGGGTTTGGTTGTGGTTTTAGTCTCTGTTAACTCCCAATAAGGTGGTGGCCAGGGCCACTCACGGCAGCCTGCAGGGGCAACATGGGTCATGCAAGCCTTTGTAACTCCTCCTTCCCTTGCTTGGGGCCAGCTGATCGGGAAAGACAAGTGTTTGGAGAGGATCAACGAGATGGTGAACAGGGCCAAGGTGAAAGCAGGGGTGGATCCTCTGGTCCCTCTACGAAGCTTGGTGAGTCTGGGATAGAGCCTGGGAATTAAGTTACAGAAACACAAACAGCAATTTTGACTAGATGAATCTGATAATGGCAGAGTGAAAGGCCTTGAGGGCTTAGTCTCTGGTCCAGAAACACATATTCTCACCCGTTCTTGTGGTTCAGCATAGAGCCTGACCTATAAGCATTCGTTAAATGTTAGCTGTTATTCTTAGCTCAGACATTTCTCTCAAGTTGCTGTAGCGCTGACCACTCTGTGGCCATAGCCTCAGTGAGATGTTCCGCAGACCCAGCTAAACCCCATGTGTTCCAAACCAAGCCTGTCTCCTCCGCTTGCTCTTCCGCCTGACTTTTTTCTGTTCAGGGCACCACTGACCCTCCCACGCTCCAAACCTGGCATTATCGAATCCCCCATTCCCAGACCAGGTTCCTCTTGCCGCCACAGCCCTCTGATGGGTCATGTGCAGGACAGGAGGAGGACTCTATGCCCAGATGTAGGGAGAAGGAGCAGACACCAGGAAGGGAGGGGGTTGAGAAAGGAGCTGGGTCTGGGGCGCGGCTCTCTCACCTCCCCTGCGGCCTAGGGCCTGTCCCTGAGCGGTGGGGAGCAGAAGGACGCAGTGAAGATGCTGACAGAGGAGCTGATGGAACGATTTCCCTACCTGAGCAAAAGCTACTTAATCACTACCGATGCTGCCGGCTCCATCGCCACAGCTACGCAGGATGGTGAGGAGGTGGCGGGAGGGGTGAGATTGAGAACTGGTTTTCTTGAGAAAGCCCCTTAGATATAGCCAGCAGAACTTGTCTTGCGATATCTAGAAGGCAGGCTCCAGCATACCCCATTCCCTTCTCCCTGTTCTTTTTATTGCCTCAAGTTCCTATCAGAGGAAGGACTGGACAGAAGGTGGGAGGACAGAACAGTATCTTGCGGGGAGGTCAGAAGAGTCAAACCTAAGAGTGTCACAGAGGAGGGAGAGCAGTTAAGCGCTAGGAGAAAATGGGAGGAGCTCTGTGATAGCAGTGTCAAAGGGCCTGCAAAGGGTACTGCAAGATCCGCATTTGAATCTTAGTTCCTATTTTTGCCAGCAGTACCATCTTGGAGAAGTTCTGCAGCTTTCTGGGTTTCAATTTCCTGCACTCTAAAATGGGGCCATTGTATTCACAAAGGTAGTTTGGGATGTTGAATCTGTGTGAACAGGGTCTGGCCTAATCCCTGGCACATAATAAGTACTCGGTGAGGCAGGTATTCTCTTGGCTGGACAAGGAGACTGGCTGGCATTCCTCTTGTCTCCCAGAGAAGAGCTCTGTGTAGATTGGAGCTTCTTTGAGACTCAGGCTCTCCACTTTCAGGCAGGAAACTAGCTGGGCTTGCTAATCTCTACAAGACTGGGTGGTGAGCCCAGGGCTTCTCTCCTCAGAAGCTGTGTGCTCTATGCAGGGCCTTGGCTACACTGAGCCTCCCATGCCCTTTCCCCAGGTGGGATCGTGCTCATCTCTGGGACAGGTTCCAACTGCAGGCTTATCAACCCCGATGGCTCAGAGAGTGGCTGCGGTGGCTGGGGCCACATGATGGGGGACGAGGGCTCAGGTGAGCTCATGCCAGCTGGGCCTGGCTCTGGCTCGGGATCCTGGACTCTTCCCTTCCTTCACCTCCCCATCTTCCTCTCCCCTGCCCTTGGCCACCAAACCCTCGGGACTTTCTGGAGACAGCTCCTGAAAAGTTGTTCTGAGTACAGGATAATGACTAACAGGTGCCAGACTAGTGGCTGACCTTAGTCCTCAGCAGTGATCTGTATCCAGACTCAGATTGATGCCTCAGCATAATAGTCGTTGCCTACCTGTGTTGACTTTTGGAGTCCTTAGGGAGAAATTGACCCTATGAAAGTTAAGGCCGTAGATGCCAGGACATGGTGTACTGGGGTCAGCTCATGGCAGTAACTACAGTGATGTGTGTGACAGCTGACCGTCTTTTTTTTAATTTCTTTTTTTTTCCTTTTTTTTAATGTTTTATTTATTTCTAGGAGAGAGAGACAGCGTGAGCAGGGGAGGGTCAGAGAGAGAGGGAGACACAGACTCTGAAACAGGCTCCAGGCTCTGAGCTGGCAGTCAGCACAGAGCCTGACGCGGGGCTCGAACCCACGAACCGCGAGATCATGACCTAAGCGAAAGTCGGACGCTTAACCGACTAAGCCGCCCAGGCGCCCCAGACAGCTGACCGTCTTTATTTTGGGGGTAGGAGCTGGTATGACACAGCTTCACCTGTCCTGTCTTCCCTCTAGCTTTTCCTTAGTGGATTGGTCAGATATAGTTTAAACTGAGGCCTCCAGGCTGGGAGTTGGGACATCTAATTTCCTGTAATACCTAAGCTAATCACTAACCTGTCTAGGTCTGAGTTTTCCTATCTGTGAACTCAGGGAGATTGCCCCATCTACTTAGCCCTGTCTGCTTTCCACAGCCTACTGGATTGCACACCAAGCAGTGAAAATAGTGTTTGACTCTATTGACAACCTAGAGGCGGCTCCTCATGACATTGGCTACGTCAAGCAGGCGATGTTCAACTATTTCCAGGTATTCCCTCCTGCCTCTGGTAAACATGCACACCTGGGATGGGCAGAGGGCTACTGAGCAGGAGTGGATGTAGAAGAACTAGATGAGCCAAAGGGAAGTTGGGGTGAGTTGTGGGTCAGAGCTGGAGGATGGAGAAGTTCCAGGTGAGGACAGGATTCGTAATGATGTGGGTGATGCTGTTCCAAGAGGATGTCAGGCATGAGGAATGGGTAGGCTGGGGACAAGTGGTTAGCTAGAATTCATTCTTTGGCAGCTAGGCCCTGCTGGGAGATGAAGGCAGATGCCATCTTAGGCTTGAATGAGAAGTGCCGGGTGAGATCAGGAGACCGTGTACTCAGAGACAGCAGGTAAAGGCTGAACAGGTGTGTTGGACAGTGAGCTGTTTCTGGCCTGTATGGGTCAGAGAGGACAGCCCATTAAAGAAGTGGGGGAGAGTTCCTAGGGAGGTGTAATTTCCTACCCAGAACATTAGGGACTGACTTTTCCTCTGTCTGGACCATGTTTACTTGTAGTGGGTTAGGAAACAGCTCCCTTTAGCTGAACCTGAGGTAAATGGGGAGAGAAGGAAGATAAATCTATTTGATAGAATCTCTGAGTGGCAGCTGGGGATTGGCTCAGTGAAGGAAATTAGAGTTGCTGGAAGGTAGGACCTGTGTTTTCAAAGTTCAGGGACTGATGATTAAAGAGAAACTCCAGTCAGCGCCAAGGTAAGGAGTGGGGAAGGACCAGGAAGAGAAATCACTTTTGATAGCAGTTGCCGTGGGAAGTGGAGTTAAGCTACCCTGACTCAACGGATTGGTGCTACACCCCACTGATATGTCTGCCACTCCCTCTTTTGTCCTTTAGTCATTCTTCTAAAGTCATTTCCAAGATCAAGGGAGATCATGTGCATAACATGCTTACTATATTGCTGTAGGTCCCCAAATTGTAGCCCCCATTTCTTCCATTTTTGTAGTATATTCTGGGGAAGCACTGGTTCCTCAGGACCTGCAGAGGCGGTTTGTTGGGAGCAAAGGGAGAGAAGTTTGTGGTCAGAGAAGTTTGGGAGAAGCAAATAGATATCTTGGTTCTGGACTTCACAGGGCCTTTAATTTGCTAATGTGCACTGAGACTCAGAGTTGCAATGTGTAGTAGTCCTTAGATTCCTTTCACCAAAGAAATCTTTTTACGAGCAACTCAAGGAACTACAGAACACACTGTGGTGAGCACAGATCTGTGCTGTGTGCTGTATGCATCCAAGCAAAGGATAAGGAGCTATGGAATCCATGTGGGGACAACAAAGAACTTTTTTTCAAATGAGAAATCTCAAATTTTTATATTCTTTAGAACTTAAAAAACAAACGTTATTCTAGCTTTTCTAACAGAGACATCAGGAAAGTCAACTTGGGTGGACCGACTGGGTATTTTCCTTTGCTTCTGATGACTGTCTGTGCCCTTTCTCTGTCTCTCAGGTGCCAGATCGGCTAGGAATCCTCACCCACCTGTATAGGGACTTTGATAAATGCAGGTTTGCTGGGTTTTGCCGGAAAGTTGCAGAAGGTACGAGAGGTGGGGCAGGGTTTTATTTGGTTTGTTTCTCCAAGACCTCCCTAATAGGGGGATAGAATGGGGTTCATATGGAAACTGGAAGCTAATTTCCCTTTGACCAAGTGATTTCAGTTCTCTGCCACCATGCACCTTGATACTGGTGGGCCTTGGGATGGAGCCAGAAGGACACGTGGATTGTATGACAGCTGTTTTAAATTGTCTGTGTTTCTCTTCTTGACAGTTGTCATGGTTTGTGCAGGCTGTAGGTCTGTTTCTGAGAAATTTATGAAGCAATTCTTTGGGTACATCTATAATTTAAAAAACAACAACTAATGATACCCAGAAAACTAGGAGATCATAGAGAAGTTTGGCATATTGGGTTGGGTATCAGGAGAAGCTAGACCATAGGGCTTGCTTGCCTGCACATTGTTTCTCCACTATAAGGTCCATACTCCTTTCATTTGGATTCCTGCAGCCTCATGGCATTATAGGGCCCTCTTAGATCTTGCTGGATGAGGCCCTTTCAAAGCAGAGCTGGGGAGGGGCTGACCAACAGCAGACTGTTGGATGGGGGTGGGAGGCTGCAGGAGCACCAGCCAGCTGCTCAGGTAGGGTCTTGGGTCCACAGAGGTGAGATACCTTCAGGGACAGGCTTAGTAACTGCGTAATGTGGAGTACGGACCAGGTGCCACTGTGCTCCTCCGGTGGGGGCTGCCCCTTCTTGAGCACCTGGCATGAACCTCCTCCGCACAGGATACCCCTCTAGGGTGGAAGTATGTGGTGTGGGCAGGGGAGTAAGGCTGGAGAGACGGCTGTGGAGGCTTGTTTACCTCCATGCCATGAGGTGGACATCCATCCCTGCTCTGCTCGCTGTAGGTGCTCCTGCTGCTGCCCTGCAGCAGAGGGAGTAACAGAGGACAGGCAGCTGCCTAGGTGTTCACCGGCTCCCTTCCCTCCCCCTCCCCCTCCCCCAGGTGCTCAGCAAGGAGATCCCCTTTCCCGCTTTATCTTCAGGAAGGCTGGGGAGATGCTGGGCAGGCATGTGGTGGCCGTGTTGCCTCAGACTGACCCGGTGAGTTGAGGTGGGAAATGAATCCTTGATGCTGCAGGGCCAGATTCGGCTCTTTCTCACTAGGGATGAGACTGTCCCATCAAACTCTGTAAATGGGGCACAGTTTTAGATGAACATAGGGTATGAGAAAAATTCTGTATAAAGTCTGTGACACATGGAAGTTCTTTGGTCCAGAGCCTCCCCTGTGTGGCCAGCCTGCAATCTGTATTTATATATAGTAAATTGGTTTATTGTGGTACATGTTTTCATCCATTTCTCTCTCTTCTCTTCCTTCTTCTGTATTGTTGCTTAACCCTTTTTCCTATCCTTTCCTTCCCTTGGCTTTATGAATCCCCCCGTTTTTCTCCCTTTTCCCCTTATCTTCCAGCCACCTTGGCTCAAGGGAGAATGACTGGGATAGGGTAGGCTGGTCTCAAGAAACTACCCATTTCAGCACTGGATAGGTTTGGTCGCCCCCAGTAGCCATTTCTGCTCTCTGCCAGGTCTTGTTCCAGAGGGAGATGGGCCTCCCCATCCTGTGTGTGGGCTCTGTGTGGAACAGCTGGGAGCTGCTGAAGGAAGGTGAGTATAGGGTGGGCAGCAGAAGGGGGTGCTCAGGAAAGCTTCCTGCCCCAGGGAGGACTTTGGACCTGGGCCCAGAGGCTTGAGTGGGCCATAGCCCTCAGCCTTCACTCTGCCACGGAGCCCTTATACAGTGTCCCATCCAGCTTCTGTGAACTCTTAAAATATGTTCTTTTTAAAGGATTTATTAAATATGTACCACTTAAAAAAAATTTTTTTTAATGTGTTATTTAATTTTATTAGAGACAGAGACAGAGCGTGTATAGGGGAGGGGCAGAGAGAGAGAGGGAGACACAGAATCCAAACAGACTTGAGGCTCTGAGCTGTCAGTACAGAGCCCAATGTGGGGCTTAACCCCATGATCTTGAGATCATGACCTGAGCCGAAGTCAGACACTCAACCAACTAAGCCACCCAGGAGCCCCTAATGTGCACCACTTTTTAAAAATTGAAGATAACCCTAACGTAAAATCAGAGCTTCTGAGCAGCACGTGGTGACGTTTGTAGTCAACACAGTCCCAGCCACAAGGAAAGAAAGGTGCCTGCTTCATGCTTGCAGCATTGGTTGGTTTGGGTAGCTGTGTGGTTTCCATTAGACATTCTGAAGTAGGTCAAGGACCCCATTGCTTCCTTGGAGTTCCTGGCATTGGGTGCTGCAGGCTCTAGGACCCCGCAGCCATTACTGGGCTCATGCTGCCCTGTCTGTTAGGGATTTGGCATGTGAGCCCGTCGAAGACCTGCACAGGAATGCCTCAGGACCTGGGCCTCTCCTTTCCCTCCCTGTCTTTGTCCCACCTTCTCCTGGTCTCATCCACAGGGTGTTGGTCTGCTCTCACCTCTGCCGTCTTCCCTCTTTCCCTCCAGGTTTCATTCTGGCGCTGACCCAGGGCAGGGAGATCCAGGCCCAGAACTCCTTCTCCAGCTTCACCCTGATGAAGCTGCGACACTCCTCTGCCCTGGGCGGGGCCAGCCTAGGCGCCAGGCACATTGGGCACCTCCTCCCCATGGACTACACTGCCAATGCCATTGCCTTCTACTCCTACACCTTCTCCTAGGGGGCTGGGCTTGACTCTACCACCACAAGCCCAGTGGAGTACTGGAAAGGAGGAGACTTTTTTCCTTCTTCTTTTTTTTTTAAAGAAAAACACATAGAAAATAAACTCACTTTACCCACTCCCTAATTGGATTGTGTTATCAAACACATTTGCTGTGTACACCCTCAGGGCACCGGCCAGTAGGTGTCCCCGAGAGTCAGGATTGGTTTTAGTCTAGGATTGAAAGCCCCGTGTCCTGGGTCTTGGCCTCTGGTTTGCAGTCTGCTTGCCATACAGTTGGGCAGATAATTCATGTGTGCCATCCCTCCTCAACCCCCTCCCAACATTAGCATACGTACATGCTGTGGGGCTGCCAGTTAAACTGTGACCTCAGTTTTCTGCTGTCAAGATGGGTAACGATTCCTACACAGCCATTTTTAGTGGAGCTAAGGGTTCTCTGTGGAGACCATCACTGGGACTAACCTTAGACACATCACATCCTCACTTTCTGATAGCCCCAGTAGGATTTAGGGGACAGTACCCTTCTGGTCTCAGAGAATTACCTCACTGGATTTGCTACCTGTAGGTAAACAGCACATTTTGCAGTTTTTCCCTGTGAATGAGTTCTTAGGAGGTTATGAAGATGATTTAGATCCAAGAAGGCCAGTTAGACACAACTAGGCAGCCTATGTATTCCTGGTGACTCCTCGCCTGGCTCTGGTTATATTAGGACATTTTGCATTTGTTGTGGGACACAGAATAATGAACATCAGTGAAGAGCAGATATGATTCCTGTCCCCTGAATACTGTTAGTTTGATCAGTAAAGACAAGGCCAAAGCTTCCTGTTTTGTGGCCCATGCTGCTCGGTGAAGACTGAAGACAGAGTCTCAGTCCACATTGGCTGCTTCTGTAGGTGTTCAGAGAATAAGCTATTAGGCATGGAACATGTGCCGGACATCAGTTCTCAAGTTTATGTGCATCAGTTATTCTAGATTGCGTTATCAACCAAGATTTTTGCCTTCCTCTTCTATAAGGTGTCTCATGCAATAGATCGAGTAAGAGGTGGAAATATTCATTTCTGCTGATTACTTTGGGTGATTTATGCTGCAGAGGTCCAGGATCTACACCTGAGGGAGCACTACCCTAGAGCTCTTGAGTTCTCATGAAGCCCTTGAGGAGATCTTGGATACTTGCATCTCAAGTCAGATGACACTTCATGTATAGAACAGAGTGGCAGCAGCCCCCGTCCCATCAGTCCTTGCCCAACACAAGCTGGAGTTTTGAGCACTGAGAAGTCAAGGCAAGTTCCTTCTGAGGAACAGACATCTTCACATCCACTAGGGTCCTGCTCTCAGCAAGTCCAATACAACTGGCAAAAAGCTTGCAAAGAGGAAAAGGACATAGAGGAGGTGTCTTTGCTATATCCTGTGGTCCCAAGAACACTAATGTGTAGAGAGCTTTGGAGAAGTTTTTTACATGATTTCAGAACCAGGATCAAGCAGTATTTATTTTGGATTTAGAATAAAACTTCAGGGGCGCCTGGGTGCCTCAGTCAGTTAAGCGTCCGACTTCAGCTCAGATCATGATCTCACGGTTCGTGGGTTCAAGCCCCGCGTTGGGCTCTGTGCTGACAGCTCAGAACCTGGAGCCTGTTTCAGATTATGTGTCTCTTTCTCTCTCTGACCCTCCCCTGCTCACACTTCAGTTAAGTTTAATAAAATGTTTCAAGTGGATGAATACAACATGCACATCTTCAAGGTGCATGAGTAGATACAACTATAGTGTCTCAAAAAGCTCTAAACAGGCAAATCAGCTCAGATTCTTCTCCCCCTTCCCCAGCCTAGTTTTAGGAAGGGAGCAAAGAAAAACAGCACTCAAAGCAAAACCCATGGCCCATGTGCCATGGGCTGGTCTCACAAGCTTTTGTCACATGACAAAACCCCTCAGAGAATCACTGAGAGATTCAAGCTAGGTGTAAACTGAGTAAATATGAATTCCCAACCCCCCACAACAGAATGGACAAATGTCCACTTGTTAACCCAGTAGCCCTGGTACCTAGGACAGACCTTGGTACCTAGTAGGCTCTCCTGAACTGTTCAGGAGTTGAAAGGCAGATAGAACTTTTACGTGTTTTCTAGATAGGAGTCTGTTTTCCCCAGAGGCAGGAAGAGAACAGCTGTCCAATTTCCTTAACTTCCTTTTAAGTCCAAGGATTTCCTGTTAATAATCTTTGTTCAAAGCTGTACACAGGGATGTCTGGGTGGCTCAGTCAGTTAAGTGTCTGTCTTCAGCTCAAGTCATGATCTCACGGTTCATGAGTTTGAGCCCCACATTGGGCTCTATGCTGTCAGTGAGAAGCTCCGCTTCAATCCTGTCTCCCTCTCTCTCTTCTCTTTTCCTCCTTCTGTGTGCACTCTCTCTCTAAAATAAGTAAACAAAAAAAACCCACCCCAAACTGTACAAGTTACTGCCATGACTGCTGCTATGTATGAAGCACCTTCCCTGTGCCAAGCAATATTTTGAGATTAAATGCAGTCTAATTTTCACAACAGCCCCAGGACAGAGGTGTCATGCCTTTATAACTGAGGTGCAGGCTGAAGGCACTAAGAAAGTGGTGGAGGTGGGATTCGCTTGGTTCGGTGACTTCCAGGTCAATGCTTTTACTATTTCCTAATGCTAGGATGAAAAGTGATGCAACTAAAACCACATTCCATCTTGGGACAAACATCTCTCACATAAACCACACATGCACTCCCTGTAATGAGGACATATAACTCAACCTTAGGAAAAACAGTTCACTGCCAGCAAGTAAATGCAATTTATCCTCATTTTATTGAGATTTTCCACAGCTGCCATTTGGTTTGTATAGCAAAATTTTTAAAAAGTAACCTTTTTCCCATTTTTGATATTTTTATGAAAATCATTTTTTCAGTTTTAAAGCCCTCCCCGTCCCCCAAAGAAGTATTAGTAATTACCCTGTAATGTTTATGGGGTGGGGGGAGAGGGAACAAAAACAGCTTTTCAACACTTGTGAAGCAGGGATCACAGTCCAAAGTCAAAACATCGCGCTAAGCTGCCGCGGGCCACCATCAGCACTGTGCCATCCATACCGCCCGGTGGGTGAGCCATGCGTAGACCCTCGGGCTTCTTGTTCCACAGGCCCCACTCCCTTTCTCTAGACATCCTCTGCTGGCCGTCTTCTCTAAATCCATCCAACAGAGGCAGCACAATCTTTAATACACGTTCAACTTTGTAATGCAGACAACACTGTATTCAGGAAGTTCGGAGATCCCCCTCCATCCAGTTCTGGAGGATAAAATACCAACAGAGTATAGATGGTTTCACTTTTGTGTCCACTCAAAATGTACTCATTAAATTAACGGATGCTTCAAAAGTCCTGATGTGTAGATAGCACAAAAGTTCCTTATAAAAGAGAAGTTGCAAAATTATAAAAATTGCTGCAGTTGAGGCTCCTTGTGTGGACCAAGCTGGTTCTGAGAAGCAGTTCCTTTAACATGCACAGCAGCTTCCCTAGGAGTCCTGTGTTCTGATGGCTCTCTCTAGAACACAGGGGGCTGAAATCCAAGTTTAAAAGATTACCTGCTGACAAAATGTGGTATATTCATCAACGGAATACTACCTAGCACTATAAAGGAAGAAACTACCAATGCAAGTTATACTTCATGGATGAAACTCAAAAATTTGCTAAGTGATAAAAGCCAGATACGAGAGACCACAGTTTGTAGGATTCCATTGATATGATGCCCAGAAAAGGCAAATTTGTAGAGACAGAAAGATAAAGTAGTTGCCTAGAGCTGGGAACATGGATTATCATGTAAATGCACAAGAAGGATCTCATGGGGGTGGGTTGGGGGATGAAAATGTTCTAAAGCTGAGTATGGTTATGGCCCCACCACTCAGGAAACTTACTAAAATAATTTGAAATGGGTGAATTTTATATGTAAAGTATGCCTCAATAAAGTTGTTAAAAAAAAAAAGTCCCTGTTTCTCAAACCACACATCAAGCATTAAAGATTTCTGAAGGCTCACAATCAACAGGGCAGGATTATCACTTAGTGTTGAGTTACAGAGTGAAAAACATTGTACTATTTTATAGTAAATAGCGTAGTGTACACCAGATCTGGGTCAATCCTCCTGTTCTCTCCACTCATTTCCCAAATGAACGCATTATCCCCCAGGCAGTGGCTGGGGCTAGGTATATAGTCTTCCCCAATAGGTGGACATCCCCAAATCTTGGTCAAGTTTGTCAGGAGTCTGCTAAACGTCACCTAAACCAACAAACATTATTAACCTGTGATGCTGGGACCCTTCTCGAACGCTTGTCCCTTCCAATCACAGCAGCGTCGATCCCTGGGTGCCTGATGTGTCTACATGGGGTCTATAGCAGCACTAATACAAGATGACTCAGTCAAGCTGTTTCCTTTGGGTCCTTCTTCTCACAGCTTTCCTCTCTGGCATCTATTTTAGAGGACTATTTTAGTGACCTCCTTACTTTCCAGCCTCTCCAAAATCAAGACAAAACTTACACTAGGACAATCCACAATTTAAAAACTACTGCTTAGTATTTCACTGAAAACACTTTTTAGGCCAAAGTTAGCATTATAACCTTATTTAAAGAGACCTCAGCTGTTTTGACTTTGAAGACCAAAGGTGCTGCAAAGGTCTGGCCTTTTCCTTACAATCCGTTTTGCTTTGACCATACACGATCCCCAGAGTCAGCTGCTGCAGTCAGGATGCCCAAAGACCCACAGCTGCAGGTGCTGAGACCTAGGCTGTGTCCCTCAGGCTTTCCACTGCAGTTCAAAAACACGGAGAAACTGAAGAGGCATTTCCTTGATTTGTTTTTTTCTCTTAAAGAGCAAGAGATAAAATCACTTTCATCTTGGAGTTTTAGAGTCCAATAATCACAAGACTCAGAAATCCATCACTAACTAACACTGCGACCTGCCAGAATTGGCACTTGTTGAAAATACTATTTCTATGCAAATTCTCAAACTTCCAGTTGCCTATAGGAAAAGTCTGAACAGAGTAGTGGGTTAAAGTCAACATGAAAATAATCACCTAGAAATACTAGCCTTGCCCTAAAAAGTTAAAGGTGCCCTGCCTGACACATACTCAGATGGTTTCCTACAAAGGAAAAAGTTAGAGACAGAGGCCCCAGACTTTCCACAGTGAAGGTCCAACAAGACCCACATGCATTTTCTGCTAAGAAGCTGCCAAACTCTCTAGCTGAGCCTATGATCTGGGTGACAATTGTGCTCTTGCCTCACAAGATATAAATGACGGAGAAAAGAGCCAGGCTATGGAAAGAAACGGCAGTGCGAGCGTACTTGTTAAGAAAGGGGTCAGGGGCGCCTGAGTGGCTCAGTCGGTTAAGTGTCCGACTTCGGCTCAGGTCATGATCTCACGGTTTGTGGGTTCGGGCCCCACGTCAGGCTCTGTGCTGACAGCTAGCTCAGAGCCTGTTTCAGATTCTGTGTCTCCCTCTCTCTCTGACCCTCCCCTTCTCATGCTGTCTCTCTCTCAGAAATAAATAAAACATTAAAAAAAAAAAGGGGGGGGTCAGTCACATTGCTGGCTGCTTCCTGATCCTGGAGTCAGCACTCTGTGTCTTGGATAGGATTGGAAAGTCCAGCACTCAGGTTTCAATGCTCATCTGGCAGGAAGCTCTCTCAGTCCTGACCAAACCTGCCTTGTGAAACCATGCTAAAGACTGGCATCAACAATGGAGCTCCACAGCAGAGAAGTCCTATGGACTGCGCATAACATCTTAGCCTATCCTGGTCAGGAGAGAAGCCGCCTTCAGGAAGAAGAAACGGCTCCATCTGGATCCCTATAGGACTTTCCAGATGGAGCCACACGAGAAGCCACTGTATGTTTGTGATGGAGACACCTACAGTCTAGAAAATGGCTCTTTCTGCAGTCTCAACATACTCCCTACAGCCTTCAGGACTCTGAGCTTGAATAAGGTAAAACGGAGACTGAAGGAGGAAAAAGGGCCCCAGCACAGATAGACCTCTACTCCTGCACTTCCAAGGCCCTTTCCCTATTACAGGCAGCAACCCCAACCGAAAGCTGGAGCTGGAATAAAGAAGTTTCTTTATTCATAGCTCTCCCTGAAAATGGGTTAAGTGTTCCATTCTCTCGAGGTAGAGGCTTTGGGAATTAACATGCATGTCTGGCAATACAAGCTCCTTAAGCTACTCTCCTATGACATGTGACCTAACAAAAAAGGCCATTCTTCAAACAATGCCATCCTATAGACTCAAATGAGTTAACGATGTGGGCTCATATTTTAAATGTGACATTAGCCTGCAGCTCTTCAGTAAGTCAACAGGGAAGCATGTAAGAAAAAGGAGAAATTCCTAAGCTTTCTAGACACTGGTCCTTTCCTTCCAACCTCTGTCCCATATCTACATACTGAATTTACAGACTTTATTTCGTTACATGGCCTTTTCCTAATAGGCCTATCACACAATATAGTAGCAGTCATACAGAAGCCACTGTCCCCCTCAGGCCTCTGCAAATCCTTGTTCTGGGAAAATGGCCACGACTAGACATGTTCTCCTTCAGACCTGACTCTGCCACCTACCTATATCACGCAAAGGCAGCTTCTGGTGCCCAGTTTAATTCCTTGAGAGTATCAACCAAGAACCCCTGTGACTTATAGTCAGGAAAGACAACAGGAACATACCCAAAGAGCCTGACCTAGAAAACCCGCAAAGCTGGGGGTGGGGGAACAGCAAAACTTAGTAATTGCTGAAACTGTCCCAGTGGGTCACATGGGACAAGCAGGACTCACTCTCCCAGGCTTTTCTTGAGTTCTTTTGTATAATTCTGTAAGGTAGGAGGAAGCATCCAAATTGTGAATTGAGCTGCTTGCTGGTATCCTGAAAAATATGCTTACTTGGGGAAAATTATTGGGAATAATTGACTAATAAGGGAAGCTACCAGGAGGACCAAGTCTTCATGGGGCTGGCAAAAAAGTGTCAAAATACTCTTAAGACACAACTGACAGGATTCAAGGTTGACTTCTCCAGGCGGAGGCTGATGGCCAGCACCGCCTGCCTCTCCCTCACCTTTGGTAACAGTATCTTTTCTTAAAAACAGAATAGGGTTGGGGTGGAAAGGAAATAGGGGATTAGATGCCATGAGAGACTAAGTGACAAACCCATCCTACAGCTCTTTTACCTTGTAAATAACGAATAATGAATTTGATGGTGGCTCTAAGCAGATACTTAAGAACAGGCAAGCAGTGACTGAGTGACCCAAGTGACAGTCACTGTCACAGCCCTCCCCTGCTGGTTTACAACCTCCATTAACCATCAGAAGAGTTACCATAAACCAGTACTTTAAGTCTGTGTTTTCTCAAATGGGGTTCCAGGCAAGGAGACATGGGTTTGGCAGGCCTGGTAATCGGTAATCCGGTTCATTGCAGGAAAAGCCCTGGGAGTCAGGGGAGCTGGGCTGCAGACTCTGATTTGCAAAACCTGTTCTTCTACTTGCCCCTCTTCTCATCCAGCTTAACAGACTCCATAAGTAGTTCTCCAGGTGTTCGTTGCCCTTGGTAAGTGTACAGCAGGGTGAGAAGGGCATTCTTAAACACCCAGCTTTTCTTGGTCAGCTTATTTTGTTTAAACACACACAGCAGAACATTCCTTATGAAGGGAAAAAAAAGATTGCAATTTCCTTAACTCAAAAAGCTAATAATAATAATAATAATAATAATAACAATAATAATAGGAAACTGTTCCAAATCAAAGTCAGTAGAACAAAAGAGAAATACTCAGAGACTCAGAGGCTTGTAGAGTAAGACTGAGCACATTAGTTACTCCACTCACAGTGTCAAGTTAAACCACTGTCCCCCTTCCCCACTTTGTACCCTTCACCCACCCCACCCCCCTCTTCAGCTCCGCCTCTTTGTGCAGCACTGTCCCCAGATGTGGGGACATACAAGTTCTCCTCAAAGCTTTCTGTCAGTTCAGTACTTCACTCCCGGAATAAATTCCTTGGCATCCGGGTTCAGGTTACTTTTGCTCTGAAAGAAGAACCAAGAGATCATAAATCCCACTTTCAAGGTTATTTTCTCCCTGCTTCCATTATTACCAGTACCTTCCTCTCAGCCTGAAAGACAGAAAAAAAATTCAGGCTGTTATTGTTGGGCTGCTCTCAATGGCTCCTGACATATTAAGCCTTGACCAACCTCATTTTCTCCTTCCTGCTTTACACTCCTGTTCACTTCATGATGCTTTCATTAGAGGCTTGGAAGTTCTACTCCAAAAATAATTTTTCAATTCACTGAGTACCTTAACTTGATGAAAATCCACATATCCCACCAAACCAGTTTGGTTACCACAATCCCTTTATTTTCCCCTCACTGTTGTCTCTTTGGTGATCTACTCTCTTGTGAAAGTCCAAAACCTGGGCAAACCACAGAGCACAGTCATGTGGAACATGAGTTCTGGGAGAACTCAGAGAATTCTGACGTTAAGTAAACACGAAAGGCAGGAAATTGGTTTATCCAGTCTTCTAATTTTAAGTGGGAAATGGCCTCTCAGGAGTTAAGTTCCGTCTAAAACGAACAGGCAGTTTTTATAACCTCATCATTCAAAACCATAAATACAGATTTGAGGAACAGTAAAGGGAAAGAACAAGAGCAAATGCTAATTTGAAGCCAAACCTCCTCTGTGTTCCAATTCTTTTTTTTTTTTTTTAATTTTTTTTTTTAATGTTTTATTTATTTCTAGGAGAGGGAGAGAGAGAGAGACAGCGTGAGCAGGGGAGGGTCAGAGAGCGAGGGAGTCACAGACTGAAACAGGCTCCAGGCTCTGAGCTGGCAGTCAGCACAGAGCCCGACGCGGGGCTCAAACCCACGAACCGCGAGATCATGACCTAAGGGAAAGTCGGACGCTTAACCGACTAAGCCACCCAGGCGCCCCAACTCTGTGTTCCAATTCTTACCCTTAATCCCAGTTCTACTTTGAAAAGCCCACTAGGGAAAGAAAGAGCTGGCGCTGCTGTGACAATCGAGTTTTCACAGCGCTTTACGTGGTGTAGCGCATCTTCAGCGCGCCCTCCTATGCGTGCCTGTGGGACGGGTGAAGAAACAGGGGCTCAGAGGCTCCAAGACGTGCCCACTGCTGTAGGGCCCCCAGGGAGGTCTGTAACTCCAAATCCCATATTCTTTTCACTATGTCTCATGTGTGACTGCATGTGGCTCTTACCAAAATATCTTCAGAATCGTGGTCATCGCTGACTGACAGCCCATTTAACTGCTGCTGCAACTGTCCCATGGCCGGAGGCAGGTCTCGTGAGGGGATAAACCAGTCTTGGTCTTCTTCATCCAGCATCTCCTGGAAACAGCGGTCTAAGAAGTCTTGCTCCTGCAGCTCCTCCTCCACCTAGCAAGCAAGGGTGATGAGCTCAGACTTACCGTCCCAGTGGGACTTGCCCTTCCAATTTTTTGCCTCTTTCTCTCAGAGGTTCTTATTGTGCGATTAAGAATGATCTTGTATGAGGTCTACTAAGAATTAGGATGCTTCAAATGATTGGCCAGAGAAAATGTAAGTTCTAGTTTTTTTCAACCACATTCCATCAACAATAAGACTAAGGAAACAGTTGTTCAGAATAGCAGAGTGTCCAGGTCTTCGTACCTCTTCTAACATCTCTGATATGTGACAAAGATACTTTTCATTAGGATGGCACTTACAGAAAATCATTTTAAAGCTTGAGATTCTTTTCTCAACCTGGTTAAGAAGCAATTCTTCTTGAGTTTCCCATTTTATAAGTATGAAAAAGGTACAGAAATTACAGAACTAGACCACTACCTGGATAGTGGAGATTAAATCAGAACCCGGGGCGCCTGGGTGGCTCAGTCGGTTAAGCGTCCGACTTCGGCTCAGGTCATGATCTCACAGTTCGTGGGTTCGTGGGTTCGAGCCCCACGTTGGGCTCTGTGCTGACAGCCAGCTCAGAGCCCGGAGGCTGTTTCAGATTCTGTCTCCCTCTCTCTCTGACCCTCCCCTGTTCACACTGTCTCTCTCTCTCAGAAATAAATAAAACATTAAAAAAATTTTTTAATAAAAAATAAATAAAACCAACTCCTAGTTTCTGGTCCACTTTTCTGGTAATAAGGCCCCTAAAGGAGAAAAATACTTTCAGAACCTTAGAAAGATATAGAGAACACTTTTTGGCAAACCAATAGAAAATGATGTCATCAATGTAGGTATCCTTTCAAAGCAAAGAAAAATATGAATTATTAAACAGCTCTGTTTTCTTAAAGACTGCCTTAATTGAAAGCAACATATATCTAGGATATTTTACACCTTCTTTGCAGACATTGTTAACTCTTAGGAAAGAGTATGGTTCACTCTGCAGATTAAGTGTGATTTTAACCGGCCCTGGCCTTCATATATGGCTAGCCCTTTCCTGTGGGCTACGTGCTGACAGATTCACAGCTCACTACCACCACCACCAGAGGGAAAGTCAAGCAAAAATAATCACCCAAACTAGCTCATACAGTTATTCATGATTTCAAAAGTCACCAGTAGCACAAGATGTAAAAATAGTCTTCAGCATTACAATTAGCCACACTTTGATCTCAAGTAAATTAGATAGTTTGAAGTACTTACAGTAACAACAAGCACAACATATTTCCAAGCCATAAGATTCAACATGACTGCTCAAGATTTGCGCTGCCTCCACACAGGAGCACCAGTGTGCGCCTCCCGATTAAATCTACCCTTACTCACTGGCGCAGCCCACAAAAGTGGTTACCTGGGTACAGGGATGTGACTGGCAACATGGTCTATGTGCTGTTCACACAAATCATGACACAGTGAGTTAACTGGGGTGGAAACTGCTGGCTGTCCTGATAAACCTGTTTTCTTCTTCCCAGAGCACCAGGCTTTTTAGTTTTAACCACGCATCCTGTCTCCCATGCTGGCGATGGCCACGTTACTATTCATCACGTAATGTCCCCCACAAGGGGTGTGAACACTGTGGTAACACTTGGTTAAAAGGAGATCCCTTCCTTGGCCTTTAGCTCTCCCCCTTTCCTGGGGGCTAGACTTTCAGTTTTCCTTCAGTTAGTCCGCTGATAAATGCCCTGGGTATGCCAGAGCAACACGGCGGTCACAGGATCACTGTTACCTGGAATGCCTACCTTGGGCTATCAGCATCACAGAGATACAGGACAACGGATTACTGCTGAATCTTTATTCAAAACAGTCTAGCCTTTCCCCATCTAACATACTTCTCGATCTCAGAGACACAGTCTGCCAGTCCCTGAGTTCCCATGGGGACAGGGGGGCATATCAGGCTGGCCTGTCTGCACAGCTGCTGTTTCCCTGAAGTCTATACCAGATCACCATGGCATGAGAGCCTCTTGTAATCAACGTGACAGAAAAGAATCAGTATCTCCCTCCGAAGTACTGTGGCGCTAGTGTCTTACCAACTGAAGAGGCTTCTTGGTCAGCCCAGACCAGGCCTCCGTGCATTTTTAAATTATTCTAAAGCGACAAATCCATTTCTTTTCTTACAGACTGATGTTAAAGTTGTTGAGTTTCATGCATCATTAGCCTTCCACTTCTTTCTTTACCTGTCTGTTGAAATCTTCTTCATTCTCCATCCACATGTACTCTGCAAATGGGTTTTCCTTCTCATCGTGCCCATTTAATCCTTGGTCCTCTTTGGATTTTACACTAGGTGATGTATTGGCTACACTGGATCCATTCATTATGATAGAACCTAAACAGGAGCAAAAGAAAGGATAGAATGATACAAGGATCAAGGAAATGAAAACCTACAACATCCAGATTCTTCCAGAACCTTCTGAAGTTCTAAGTCAAAGTTACTAATTATAGATGAACAGAAATTATTAATTAGTGTTTAACTGTTAAAATTAACCATATTCTGTAGTTATCAACTATACAGATGTAGAATTCTTTTTCTTTCTTTCTTTTTTTTTAATTTCTAGGAGAGAGAGAGACAGAGAGACAGCGTGAGCAGGGGAGGGTCAGAGAGAGAGGGAGATACAGACTCTGAAACAGCTCCAGGCTCTGAGCTGGCAGTCAGCACAGAGCCCGACGCGGGGCTCGAACCCATGAACCGCGAGATCATGACCTAAGCAAAAGTCGGACGCTTAACCGACTAAGCCACCCAGGCGCCCCCCAGATGTAGAATTCTTAAAAGAGTTAAAAGAAGTGTGATTGGGTGGCTTAGTTGGTTAAGCATCCAACTCTTGATTTTGGCTCAGGTCATGATCTCACGGTCATGAGACTAAGCCCTGCATCAGGCTCTGCACCGAGTGTAGAGCCTGCTTGGGATTCTCTCCCTCCCTCTGCTCCCCCCTTCTCTCTCTCTCTTTCTCTCTCTCATATAAATAAACATTTAAAAAATAAAGTTCAAAGAAAAAATGTCTAGGCTTAGTTAGCCTTTCTAGGCATGTAGGGGAGGAGGAATCTTTTCAAGCCAACTTTCTGCAGGTTCTAGACCTAATTAAGGTCACATAGCTTCGTTAATGTTTAAGTAAGTAGAGAAAATGCATTTAAAAATTCTTTTTAAGATGCTGGCGAGGATGTGGAGAAACGGGCAACCTCCTACACTGTTGGTGGGAATGTAAACTGGTACAGCCCCTCTGGAAAACAGTGTAGAGGTTTCTCAGGAAACTAACAATAGAACTCCCCTATGACCCAGCAATAGCACTGCTAGGAATTTACCCAAGGGATACAGAAATGCTGATGCATAGGAGCACATGGACCCCAATGTTCATAGCAGCACTCTCCACAATAGCTAAAACATGGAAAGAGCCTAAGTGTCCATCAACAGATGAATGGATCAAGAAGATGTGGTTTACCTCTACCATGGAATACTACATGGCAATGAGAAACAATGAAATCTGGCCATGTGTAGCAACATGGATGGACCTTGAGGGTGTTATGCTGAGCGAAATAAGTCAGGCAGAGAAGGACAAATATCATATGTTTGCACGTATAAGAGGATTAGGAGGAACTTGACGGAGGAACAAGGAGGAGAAGAAGGGGGGAAATGGTGGGGGAAAGGGAGAGAGACAAACCATGAGAGACTCTTGAATGCTGACAAAAACTGAGGACTGATGGATGTGGGGGGAAGGAGGGATGGGCATGGAGGAGGGCACTTGTGGGAATGAGCACTGAGTGTTATGTGGAAACTAATTTGACAATAAACTATTTGTAAAAAAAAAAAAAAATTCTTTTTATTTTAAGTAGACCACATGCCCAATATGGGGCTCGAATTCACAACCCTGAGATCAAGAGTTACATGCTCTATCAACTGAGCCATCCAGATGCCTCAAGAAAATGCATTCTTAATAAACATTGTAAGCAACTGCCCCTTACTCTGAACTTCAAGCTGTTTTTCTATTAAACATACTTCAAAAGGTAACACATGTTCACTGGATTGATACAGAGAAAGGAGAAAATTAAGGTTACCAGTTGTTCAACTATCCAGAGTTAAGGACTATTAACAATGTAGTGCATATAACCTTTCTGACATCCCCTATGTGTATGCAGACACATGTACCACACGCTTTCCCCAATCATCCATTCTTAGAGTAGCAGCATGATGCTCTATCATTTGCCTTTTCTCCTTTCTGTATTAATATCACCATACTGTCTTTTGGGGTATTTACAATGTTTCGATGTTATAAAGGTTACTGGTGTTCCTCTTTTTCAACGACTTCCTTAAGATAACTCCTAGAAACTGAAATGCTATATTGGAAACTTTTTTTTTAAACATTTATTTATTTTTGAGAGAGAGAGAGAGTGCGTGCGCGAGAGCATGAGTGTGTGAGCAGGGGAGGGGCAGAGAAACAGGGAGACACAGAATCTGAAGCAGGCTCCAGGCTCTGAGCTGTCAGCACAGAGCCCAATGTGGGGCTGGAACTCACAGACTGTGAGATCATGACCTGAGCCACAGGAAGCTTATCCGATTGAGCCATCCAGGTGCCCCTGGAAACTATGTTTTTTTAAGGCCCTCAATTTATTGCCACACTGCCGTAAGAATTTAAATTCCCACCAGTAGTATGTAAGTGCCTATTCTTCTCCATTCGTGCATATTATTATTATTTTTTATATGTTTATTTATTTGAGAGAGACAGAGCATGAGCAAAGGCCGGAGAGAGGTGAGAATCCCCAGCAGGCTTTGACCTGTTAGCGTGGAGCCTGATGTAAGGCTCAACCCCACGAAATATGAGATCATGACCTGAGCTGAAATCAAGAGTTGGACGCTTAGCCGACTGAGCCACCCCAGTACGCCAGGTATTATTATTTTTAAAATCATTGCCAGTCTCATAAGAGAAAACTTTTGTCATTTATTGTTTATGTTTACATTTCTTTGATTTTTGCTGAGGTTGAATATTTTGAGATATACTTACTAGCCATTTTTATTTCTTATTTTGTCAATTTTCTGTTAAAGTATTTTGACCATTTTTCTATCAGGATATGTATCTTTCCTTTATCTGTTGTAAGAACTTTTATTACATTTGTCAATATTTTTATTTTTCATAAAAGAATTTATAAATTAAAACTACTATATTAGTTTTACTTGGGGCGCCTGGGTGGCTTAGTCGGTTAAGCGTCCGACTTTCGCTTAGGTCATGATCTCGCAGTTCGTGGGTTCGAGCCCCGCGTCGGGCTCTATGCTGACTGCCAGCTCAGAGCCTGGAGCCTGTTTCAGTCTGTGACTCCCTCTCTGACCCTCCCCTGCTCACACTGTCTCTCTCTCTCTCCTAGAAATAAATAAAACATAAAAAAAAATTTTTTTTTTAAATTAGTTTTACTTAAATTTTTTTGTGGTAGTTTTTGCTGGCCTTAGTTTTTGTCTACATCTTGTATGTCTGCCTGTCTATGGCTTTTTAAAGTAAATACATATCGTTTTTAGTTGCTTATATTTGGCTTCCAAATCCACACTGATGTGTTTGCTGTCATCTGGAATGTGTCTTTTTCCTGTTCTTTATTTAAATGTTAACCATTCTTCCAAAAGGACTGCAGTCTTTACTCCCTGCTTGCTCTAAGCTCCTGCGCCTAGAGTGTTAATACTACTTAACAGTATTGTTTCATATACATAATTTTCCTCTTTCTAATTAGATTCTCAATTTGTGATAAGCAAGAGGGAGGTTTATAATCTCAATCTCAACTCCATCCCCTCCTCCATCCTCCTTGGGGAATCTTTAAGTTTTCTCTAATAACTTTTTTCCTCATTCATTTCCATCTTGGCAAAATTCATGAAAAAAGTCTTTCTCTACTTCTGCATACACTAAAAAATTATTGCTTACTCCCCATTAAAGTTCTTGCAACTTTCTAAGCTGTTACAAACATTAGAAAATGTAATCTTCTTAAAAGACAAGATAGGATTGTGAAGAGTAAGAAGAGATAAAAAATCAACTCACTGATATTTCAAAAAGAATTTCATTTATCACAGAACCCATTTAATTCACTGCTGGTTTAAAAAGATTCTTTTAGTTTATTTATTTGAGAGACAGAGAGACAGAGCACAAGCAGGGGAGGGGCACAGAGCGAGAGAGACAGAATCGGAAGCAGGCTCTAGGCTCTGAGCTGTCTGCACAGAGCTTGACAGCGCTCGAACTCATAACCATGAGATGTTGACCTGAGCTGAAGTCGGACGCCACCCAAACGCCCCACTGTTGGTTTAAATAGGGTGCCTCGTATGAAATATATAGGTTTAACATATTTTAAATAAAGACAAAAGAAATCAATGATTATTCCAAACACTGCTCTATAATAAAAATTCTACAAGCCCAATGAAGGAAGGAAACCAGTTTTTTATTTTGACCACTACCATTTGCAGCATAACAATGACAGAGGCAAATCTGCTCTAAATGCCAGGGCAACTGCATAAGTAAGTAGGGTATTCCTAGGCACAGAGACTCTTAAAGAACCTGACTCTTACTGGGTAGCAGGTTAAATAGTATTATATTTCCAATGGCTCATTTCGCAGTGAGTTACAAGCAGCACAGCGATTTCTCCCTGTCAGTATGGAAATCACTCAGACAGAACCAGTATTCAGCTTTCTAAAATATCTGCCTTTCCCTAAAAAAATAAATCTAAGTGCACATGACCATAAGGAAAAAGAGAAGGCAGAGATATAAAGAATAGAATAACCCATCTGACTCAAGAGCATGGTGGAATCCAGAGAGCAAACTGTAGGATGCTCTCGCTCATAAAAAAGGGAATGGAAACATACCATAATCGCAACAGGGGGATGTCACTCAATTTAATGCAAATACTTTTTTTTTTAATTTAATGCAAATACTTAACAGAAGCTGAAAACACAGAGATATGGGACTGTTAATACAAGGAAAGTGGTTCTCAGTAGGCCATATACAATGTTGATTTGTATTTTATACCATTCTACCTGTGTTTTCCACACAATTGGAGAATTTAGCTTTCTCTAAATAGAAGCAATACAACAACTTAATTTGTATAATGTTTAACAATTTATTAAGTCCTTTTTATCTATACTGTGACTTCAGGTAATCTGTCCAACTTTACTCTAAAAAAAAAACAAAAACATCTAAATAGTGCTATATGTAAGACCAAAGAAGGTACCAGATTCAAGGGTTAAGCAACCTGAGTTGCTGGCTTAGCTCAAGAACACTGGTTTGTGGGCCTACTGGGTGACAGTGCCCTGGTGCCTAATGTGCCCCTAGACTTCAGTAGTAGGGTGGGAATGGGGGAGCTTCTGCTGGA